CACCACCGGTCCGAACCCCCCCCCCCCCAGTCCATCATGAAAGGGGGGGGGACTTCCAGTTCGAATCCCCCCCCAAGAACACCGGTTCGAACCCCCCCCCCGGGGGGGGTCATTACCGTTTTTTCCGGAGGGGGGGGGTCGAACCGGTAGTAACCCCCCCCGGTTTTCCGGAGGGGGGGGAGGTTAGGGCGAAGGGGGGGTGTTGCCGGGTGGGAGGGGGGGGTTCGGCAGAGGGGGGGTGGGGGATTTTTGGAGGGGGGGGGACCCCCGGGTTCCGTAGGAAGAGGGCGGGGGATTTTCCACAGTAAAGCGGCGGTGGATCATGCTCTTTCATAATTATATATATATATATATATACACGGGACCGCTGGCTACGAACAGCCGTGTTGAAGAGCTCGCAGTGCGCAGGGGCCGACATAAGTGCACAAGACAACATGCAGGAATATCGGTGTAGAGACGAAGACAGAAGCTGACGGATAAGGGCCAACGAGGGACATACATGTTCAGCAACAACAGCAACAACAACAATCCTTTTAAGACTGTTCGCCCTTATCTGCCCGAGTGTCCAATAACGCGTACTTCCCAAACCCTCGATACCCGCCCCCTTCGTACTCGATCGAACCCCTTTGGGGGGTATACCTTTTTTCCCTGCAGGCCAGGCCCCTGCAAGCGGCGGGGCGGCCGCGGACCGTCGGCCTGGCCAGCGGCAGCGCTCATCGGCGGGGCGGCCGCGGACCGTCGACCCGACCCCAAGAGGGACGGGCAGGGGACCGACCACGACGACGACGACGTCGACGACAACGGCGACGTCGTCGACGACAACGGCGACGACGACGACGGCGACGACAAGCAAAAGCGAGAGCGAGAGAGAACGACAGCAGGGCTACGAAGGACACGAAGTAGGCCACGAAGGGCGACAGCGGGGACATGAAGGGAATGCGTATGGGGCCACGAAGAGCGCGAACGAGCGGGGGCCACGAAGGGCAGATAATGCGGGGACACAGAGAGCAACGATGGGGCCACTGAGGGTAGCAACTGAGCTACGTAGGACAGCGAGGGGGCCACAAACGGCGACAGCGGGGCCACGAAGGGCACGCACATGGGACCACAACGGGCGCGACTCCTGGGTGGTTGGGTGTCGGGAGCGCGGCGCTTGAGCAAATTGCAAGAAATTCCAAAACAACGGCGCTATTCTGCAATAGATTGCACGCGAGTCTCCAGCGAGAGCGCGACCCCAGAGCGCCGGGAGAGCGATTCTTGAATACATTGTAAGGAAGTCCCAAGCGAGAGCGCGATTCCTGAAACCAATGTGAAAGAGTCTCGGGCGGGAGCGGCGGTCCTGGCTAAATTGTGATGAAGTCTCAGGCGGGAACCGTTGTTGTTGTAATCCGGGGGGGCCAGGGGCCCAGTTTGAACATCATGATTTTCCTTGTAAAAAAACACCGTGCGAGCGTCGAGGGGCACACTTCGATGGAGAAAAACAGTATGCACCGGTGGGGGGATCAACAATAATTACTTTTCAGAAGTGAGCGTTCAACAAAACAACAGCAGCGCCGAGCACGACATACGCGGTGCAGAACCGCGCCGCCCGCTCTACAGCAGCACAGCGCGTCGCGTTGAGCGAGGCAGGCGCACGGGAGCCGCGAGGTCTCGACGGGGTGTGCGTGGCTACCGACTCCGCTGGGCCCCCCAGGAGCCCGCACAGGTGGCGACAGCTGCGCAGTCCGCAGCCCCGCAAGAATCGGGGGTGGACAGACCTCCTACCCTGACGCGTCGATTAAGGAATTGGCCGTTTTCGGTTCGCGAAAGGGCGTCGAGGCCGTCATTTTTGCGGGTCCAGGTCCGTCGGTTTCGGTCCCAGGCTGGTTTCATTTTTCAGGGGAGGTCTACTAAAGGGATGTCCGACGCCGAAAGAAGCCGAGAGGTCTCGACGGGGTGTAACCGTGACTGCGTGGCTGCTGACCTCGTTGGGCTTCCCGGGAGCCCACGAAAAGGGGCGACGGCTGCACAGGTTGCAGCCCACCAGGGTGTTGCGAGAGCTAGAAGGTGTGTGTGTGAGAGAGAGTGTGTGTGTGTGTGTGTGACTACCCACACCGCTGGACCTCCCAGAAGCACAGACAAGTGGCGACGTTTTTTTTTGCAATTCGCAGCCCCACCAGGAGACGCGAGGTCTCGACGGGGTGTGCGTGAATGCCGAGCCCTCTAGGCCTCCCAGGAGGCCACGAACGTCGTGACTGTTGCGCATGTCTCAGCCCCGCAGGGCGCCGCGAGATCTCGACGTTGTGTGCGTGACTACCGAGCCCGCTTGGCCTCCCAAGCGCACGAAGGTGGCGGAAATTGCACCTTTCGGACCCCCCCCAAGAGAGCTGCGAGGTACCACCTCCCAGGAGCCCACGAGAGAGGCAGACACAACGGGGCTGCTACGCAAGCAGGACGAAGGAGGGAGGGGAGGAGCAAGAGAAGGAAGAGGAATCAGGATGCAGGAAGTGAGCAGCAGGAGGCAGGAGGAGGAAGGAGGAGAAGGAGAAGACTCGACTACAATGCTCTAGTCAAATCGAGAGCCCAACCAAGGACGAACTCTAGGACACTCAGTGATTTGGACCTCTTGGGACCCTCTTGGGAGGCCTCTTAGAGGCCTCTTGGGGCTTGGGGGCCTCTCGGATCGTCTGGGGGCCGTCTTGAGCGTCGAGGGCCCTCATGGCCCGGCTTGGGGCACTCTTGGGCCCGAAACGGTCACGTGACAAGCCCCGAGAAGATGCGGGAAGGACCAGGAGATTTGTGAATTTGGGCTCCAGGCCTTTGAAACACTCCTCAGGAGTGCTTCAGGGATTAGGCAAAGGACCTGAGAATACGCACATTCCGTAACCAGCGACACGGAGGCAGATATCGCGAGAGAGAGAGAGACAAAGATAGAAGAGAGAGACAGAGAGAGAACCAAACATTCATGACGAGAGAGAGAGAGAGAGAACACATAAACGAGGCAGACATCTCCCCAATAGTGCCGTGTGTCGCCTCTCTCGCCTTCTCTCTCCCTCTTGCCTCCCCTTTTCCTCCCTCCTTTGTCTCCCCTGGCCCCCCTCCGAGGGCGACGACCTCGAAGGCGACGCCGGGATGATGTCACCGACTGCGATCGACGACGATACAAAAACTACGACGAAGGCGACCACCACCCGCAGGGGGCGGCGGGGGCCGCCGGTGGCCGCTGGTGGTGTGCGGCACGCTGAACTTCAACGGGCGGCAGAGCGCGATGAGCGGCGCGAGGGCGGGGGGGGGAAGGAGGCGGGCTCGCTGGAGGAGGAGGGCTGGTGGTTGGAGGAGGAAGAGGAAGAGGAGGAGGAGGAGAATGAGGAGGAAGAGGAGGGCTGGTGGTGGTGGGGGGGGCTGGCCGGGAGATTTGGGGGGAGGCGAGCTGGCGCAATTTGCCTCCGTCTCGTCGGCAGCCAGTACGTGGTGGGAGGGCGCTGCCGGGCAGCGGCCGCAGGCGTGGGGGCTGGTGCCGAGCATTGGAGATCTCGAGAGGAGCAGGCGGAGGGAGAGCGAATGCGGAGGATCAACCCGCATAGTAAGGAATGGCACCCTTGCCAAGGGAATCCTTGCATCCTTCGGGCCGGACGAACGGTGGGGAATTGGGAAAGGGGGGGTTACGAAATCTGTTGCATGCAGTTGGTTTCGGCCCCACTGAGGGGCCCAGTCCTCGATACATAGCCGCCTCTGGCGCCGGGAGGCGCCGGGAAAATCAGCTACGTGAGCTGATCCTCAAACCCCCCCTTTGCTATCCCCCCCCTTTCGGCCGGCCCGAATCCTTGCCTCCTCGGTCCATCCTTGACAACTTTCGTTGGCCGCGCCCCGCTCGAAAAGCTTCGGAATGGACGTCCAAGGCCCTCACATCCTTATCGCGCATCCTTACGATGCGGGCCGACTGTAGGCATAGGCAGGGAGATACATCACTTTAAGCGGAGGTGAAGGTGCGCCTGCGAGTGACGCGCTTGCGTCCGCCGCCGCTTGGACTCAAGCGGCGCGCGCCTATGTTGATTTGGCTGCCACATGCTCGAAGCACTGTTGCATCTGCACAACGGAAGAGGAAACTTCCAGATCCTTCGACATTGTATTCCATCATCCCATGTTTTATCTCTCATCTACCTGCCCATACCTGCTGGATAAGTCATGGAGCACTATTACACGCCTAAGGTTTAGTACAATCATATCACTTTCGACTGCGTCGACCCCTCATGGCCCATTGATCGCCGATGAGGGTCTGATAGACCCACCCCGCCCAAAAACGTGCGGGTTTGCTGTCGGGGCTCTATCGCGGATCTCTCGGCGATGTATCGCCGATTTCAGGTCGACGTTCCCCTCCCTATGCCAGTCCCCCCCCAATCGTGGCCACTAAGGATAGGGGAACAGGTGGCGGAGAAACAAGAAAAGGGGGGGAAGACGGGGAAAGGTTGGCAGTCATGCTCGCTCTGGTGAGTGGCACAATTCGTTATATCGGTCCACCATTGGGTACTGAATACCACCAGCTATGCTTGCCATTTATGCCTGTGAAAAGAGTAGGCTGTGGCCGAGGACCCCAACGTAGTGTACCAGAGCCCCGAATCATCAGGGGTAACTCGGGTCAGGGCTAACTTGGGTTCCTTTTTCGGGAATCCAAACCCGAGTTACTCCGGACCCGAGTTACCCCGGATAATTCGGGCGTCCAGAGCCCCACATCATCAGGGGTATCTCGGGTCAGGGCTAACTCGGGTTCCTTGTTCGGGAATCCAAACCCGAGTTACCCCGGACCCGAGTTACCCCCGATAACTCGGGCGCCCAAGTGTAAACTTACCGACCCGTGCCGTGGCCCCCTTTCCATTATGAAACCCGGTCCCTGGGGGACACAACGTTTTCTTTTACCCTCGGCCGAACCTTCGCTTGTCTGCGTCATGGGGGCGTGGGCTCCTGTGCTCGCGGCAGGTGCGCACAGCGCCGAGTACTTGGAGTTCCTCGAGATTTTCCGACAGGAGCGGGGGGGCGAGGAGGTAGTCGCTTGCTGGATCTAAATCCTTGCTTCGAGCTTCTCTTGCCGACGTTGCTGTGCTCAGGCCTCTCGGGGAGGCCCCCCATCGCCACACAGGATTCCGTCGCGAAATCCTGGCCAACACACGCAACGAGAGGTCCTGGGTGTGCTGTTTCAATCCGCGGCGAGCCAGGGGCGAAAGTGAGAAGGAGAACGCCTTCTCAGAAGGCGGCGGGCCTTCTCAGAAGCCCCCCAGGCGCCTTCTGAGAAGCTGTTTGTGTCTTCGGGGAAGGCTCCGACAACTTTTTCAGAAGGCTGGGGGACTCCCGAACCTTCTGAGAGGGCCTTCCTGTTCTCGCTGTCCCTGCTCGCTCGCCGCCGGTTCAAGGTCAGTATGCTAGAAAGCAGTGCGGGGGGATCGGGGTCCTGAATGTCTGCTGCTGTCCCGGGAGCTCCGGGCCGGAGGGGCACTCCCCAGGCCCGAGGGCCGTCAGATGACGACTCGGTATGGAGGTCTGGTCTCGGGGTGGGCCCCCCTGGGCCAGCTGGGGCCCACACCCCTTGCTTTGTCGGGGGCGGCAAAGAGGGGGGTGATGACTAGGGAAGGGGGATATCATGGCGGGGGCCATGATATTTCCACAGATGTCATGGCGCCTCCTCTTATTTCATTACGTCCCCGGCCCCCCCCCTGGGCCGCGCACATGCCGCCGGCCATAATTTGCACCCCCCCCTCTTGGACACGCCCCTCTTGGCCGCCCCCGACTTTGAAGACCCGCTTCCCTCATGGCAGATTGGTGTGAGGAAGGGGAGGAGGAGCAGGATGAAAAGGAGGTGGTGTGACGCTCTTCGCCCGACTCGCCGCGAGGTATTGGTCGGGGCGCGCTCCAGGACAGGTCGACAACTCTGGGGGAGGAGGGCCAGGAGAAGAACCAGGGCGAGGCCCGATGAGGGCGGACGAGGAGGGATGGACAGGAGGAGGAGGAGGAGGAGGAGGAGGAGGAGGAGGAGGAGGAGGAGGATGAGGAGACAGTGCGAACTCCCAACTTCGCGACGAATTACTGGCGGAGGGCGAGGAGGGATGGGCAGGGGGCGGGGGAGGAGTGGGAAGAGGAGGAGGAACAAGTGGTCGAGAGTGAGGAGGAGGAGGAGGAGGCGGAGGAGGGAGATAGGAAAAGAGGGGGACAAGAGGGAGGACGACAACGATGGAGCAGGCAGTACCTAGAGGTCCTCGGCATATTCCGCCAGGATGGGGAAGAGTGTATGCAAGATGATGGTTTTTGGGGCTTTCGTGGCGGGTTTTAAGGGGCCACTGTTGCGTGTGAAGGCATGTTTGCCAGCGTGGACCCCAGCCAGTGCGTTATTCCATTCAAGATGCTTTGCATATGCGATGCATTATACATATGTGCCGCAAGCATGTTTGCAATTTGGGTGCTGTCAGATATGTGGCGCAACAAACAGATGCGGGCTATGTGGTGCAGTCTACGTGTTGCGTTCTATGCATTGCAAGCTATAGTGTGCAGTCCATATGGTGCAGGCTATGTAGTTAGTCAAATATGTGTGGGGCAATGTATGTGTTGCAATCAATATTGACCGCATCCACGCGTGACCACCTCAAGTGCTCGTGTCAGCTTTTGGCACAACTCAACTGGGCGGCGAGAACGACGATGACGATGACGCTTGTACTGTTCATGACGGCGTTGGGGGGCGACGTCGACGGCGCTGGTGATGGTGATGAAGTTGATGGTGCCGGGAATTATGATGATGATGCTGAGGAGGAGGAGGGGAATCAGGAGCATGGCACGAGGATGCTGATGGTGATGATGATGATGGTGATGCTGATGCTGAAAACGATCAGTTTGATTATGACGATATTGAGTGGCATGATGATAACGATGCTGATGATGATGACGATAACGCTGACAACGATGATGATGACGACAATTATGATGATGTCGGTGATGATACGGAGGAGGAGGAAGTACGCGCGCATGCATTCTACGAGGTTGACGACATCGACGATAGCGATCATGACGTCGGTGTGATGATGATTCTGGCAATAGTGATGTTGACGATAGCAATGGTGATGTTGTCTAAGATAACGATGAAGATCGCAATGGTGATGCTGGTGTTGCTGATGGCGATTTGTACATATAGCGATGGTGAAGAATTGCGCGCTCGCAGAGCTTAGGAATCATAGAGACATCTTGCATCAGCAAAAGTTTATGCCTGATCTACTTGCTCACCTCCATTTTGACGCCGAGAGAACCATTGATTCTGGAAGGAGTTCGACGTGTGCGCACGGAGATGTGCGCGCGTGGCTTGAAGGACAGAGCTGTTGGGCGCGCGAGCTTGCTGACGTATTTTGAATGCGTGCAGGTGCGACTCGCATGATCTTGTTTGCCAGAACTGCTGTGCACGCATGGTGTCCGAATGACTCCTGCGAGTGCGCCCGCTGCGAAATCTGGCGACCCTTTGTTGGAACAGCTTCTGGTGTTTTTTTCGTAGTTGCTGACCAGCTATTGCTTGATATGGTTGGCAGGTATGATGTCTTGCATGAGTATGACATGCGCGTGCAGAGGCGCCCACATGTGCCGCGCATAAGCTTTTGGTTGCTGCAAGGGGCTCTTAGAGAAAGCACTCTCTGGATCAACGCATGTGCACCGCACAGTACGATTTGACTGATGGGGGCGTCGATTCCGGGGCGGCTGGCATGCTGCGGTCTGACAGTTCCAACGCGTGGTTGTTCACAACACTGTGAACCCATATGGTGCGGAAGGGGGAAACGTTCGCACGGGCCTCGGTGGGGGGGTGGGCGTGGAGTTGATCTCCTCTTTCGGATGCAACTCCTGGGAGGTCAAATTCAGGTTTTGCCCTGGTCCGAAATCCGGCTTAATCCCGCTCAATCCCGCTCAATCCCGCTGAATCCCGCTTCATCCGGCTCAATCCCGCTTAATCCGAGGCCCCCTTCCGGCGTAACAGCTCCCAACTGGGGCTCAATCCTCCTTAACCTTTCCGACGAAAACCTCCCAGTAGTTGCCTCCTAATCGTCTTCGGCAAAAACGGGGTGTCCGCGGCGCAGGCTATGTGCTGCAAGCTTCAAGTCGGGCCTGTCCCTGTACAGGGGGAAAATTCAAAAATACTACTTAAACAAAAATCCCGGGGGATTATTTTTTATTGTATGTTTGAAGATGTTTGGGTATCTTTTGAATATTTGGGGTATTTCTTATTGGGCTGGCCTCCGACCAGTGCCGCCGATTCGGGGGGGCTCTGGAAGTGGAGTTTTCTATACCCCCCTGTCCCCGGGTACCGAAAAACGTCGGAACTGACGTCGGAAATATCCCCGTGTACCGAAACACATCGGAAATGGCATCGGAAATCACGTGCCCCCCCCCCCCTTCCTGCAGAGCGAAGCTTGAGCGAGCTCAAGTCCACGCTCTCAGAAACTCACACGCCGCATCGGCGGATTTCTCGTCGAAGATCCCCCTGCAGGGGGGCACGCCCGACTTAATGCAGGCTGTGTGGTTCGGGCCGGGCGAAAGGGGGGGATTGGGAAAGGGGGGGTTACGAAATTTGCTGCATGCAGCTGATTTCGGCCTCACCGAGGGGCCCATTCCTCGATACATGGGCGCCTCCCGGCGCCGGGAGGCGCCGGGAAAATCAGCTACGTGAGCTGATTCTCAAACCCCCCTTTGCTATCCCCCCCTTTCGCCCGACCCGAGTGTGGTGCAAGCTGCGTGGTGCAGTCTGCGCCCACGGGGCGTTCCACGGGCGGGCACCGACCTCGGCGGACCCGGCCAGCGCTTTTTTGGGGGCGCCCACGGGTCGCCGAGGGGCGGCCTTGCCTCCAGGCGACTCCTCCTCCTCCTCCTCCTCCCCCTCCCCCTCCTCCTCCTTCTCCTCCCCTCCCCCCTCCTCCTCCCTCCTCCTCCTCCTCCTCCTACCTCCTCCTCCTCCTCCTCCTCCTCCTCCTCCTTCTCCCCCCCTCCTCCCCCTCCTCCTCCTCCTCCTGCTCCTCCTCCTCCTCCTCCTCCTCCTCCTCCTCCTCCTCCTCCTCCTCTCTACGGACCGAGCAGGTTGTTCAAGGGTGGCAGGTCAGAGCCCCGAAGTTTGTGGAGGGCGGTCAATGGAGGGAAACATGTTGCCAAATACATTCCAGATGCCTAAAGCATGTTGAAACATGTTCTCTACATGCCAAAAACATGTTTGAGACATGTTTGGAACATTTTCCGACATGGTGTCCATTCTCGTGGCATCCACAACCCTAAGTGGACGGGGGGCTCTCAAGGGGGAGGTGGCAGCAAAGGATGGAGCAGGCCGAGGATGTGGGGGGAGGAGCGGGCCCCGCGGTGGGGGGGGCGGGGCCCTGCAAGTTGTGCTGGGGGCTCCCGCGGGTTCTCTGAGGGTTCTTGGGGGAGGAGGCGAGAGGAGAGACGACAGGCGGGTTAGGAGAGGAGGTTTTATGAGGGTTCTTCGGATATGAGGTGAGAGGGAGTGTATGAGAGTTCTGGGGTGAGTGGGGGACGGTACCAGAGAGGGAGGGAGGGAGCAGTGAGGGGTCGGGTTCCCCTCCTCCCCCTCTCTCCACCCCGGCCCCCTCCCCCTTTCCATCTGTCCCCCCGCCCCTGCTCCTGCAACGCCTCCTTATGGTGTCATCCCTCTTCATCCCCGTCCGCCTCATCTCCTGCACCTCCCACCCCTCGGCCCCTCAGCCTCATCTCCCACCCCATCAACCCTCACCCCTCATCCCTTGCATGTCCTTCCTTCCCAGACCCAGTCTGTGAGCAATCCCGTGCCGTGCCAGCACATTGGCCCCGCGCCTCCTCTCCTCTCCGCACTCCCTCGCGTTCCCTCCTCCCGCACGTGCTTGTCCAGCACCAGATCAAAATAATCCGTGGACGACGCAGTTTGGGGAGGGGTGGGGGGGGCATCGAGCTGACTGGTGGCTCCCCGCGGCTCGTCACCGATATTGCTTCAGCTTGCCAGAGCCGAGAGGGCCCACGAGCT